TATATATATTCTATTTTATTTAATAATAATAATATAATTATTATTGTTTTTTTTTATTATTGTTCATTTTTATTTATTATGGTTTCATCTTTATTAATTAGTATAACATACAGCCTATAAAATAAATGGTATTAAATTATTAATAAATTATGACATTATCATTATCATTATATAATTTTATCATTATTTTTTATTTATCTATCATCATTTATCATAATTTATAAATATGTAAGCATAAATATAAACAAATATAAAAAAATACAAAAAGTATATTTTTATATAATATATGATATCACTATTATATATGATTACACATTATATACACATAATAAATAACATATTATTTATTTATTATTATCATCTCTCTCTCTCTCTCTCTCTCACACACACACACACACACAAATGAAAATTTATGATATTAATAATACCATTACTATTATTATTTAAAAAGTAAAAAAGAGATATTTTGATACATGTAAAATAAATTATATTATATACACATAATAAATGTCTTTATTTATCATTATCATATATAAATGAATATATAATATTACTATTATTATATATGATTACACATATACACAATTTAATTTATTTATTATTCTCTCTCTTTCTCTCTCACACACACACATATAAAAATGAAAATTATGATAAATATTAATAATAGCATTACAATGAAAACGTATGATAAATATTAATAATAGCTATTATGATATGTAAAATAACATATTATATACACAATACATGATGACTTTTTTATTTATCATTATCATATATAAATTAATATTTAAATAATATTTGTCAGGTTTTATCATATAAAATGAAATTTGATGAATAATAATAGTAATACTATTATTATTAAAAACAAAAACAAAAACGTACTTGTGATCCGTCACTAATCAAACTTGTAAACAGAGTATCTTAAATAGAGCATCAAGCTGTGGGTGCAAGGCTAGAAGATTTGTGGTCTGTCGTTATTTTGATTGTATGGTCGTACATCCTGTAAACAACAATTCGTGTCTAAACAAAAAGAGGAAATCCTGAGAGAGCTTCACATGATGAGGAACAACATCCTGAACAAGCTCACTGCTTTGAAAGCTTATTTACAGATCGAGTGTGTGGCACTTATTAGAAAGACATGCAGAAACGCTGCGGGGATATTAGGCTGAATTCATCTGAAGAGCATGCGCGGTCTCTCGAAGGCTTCTCGCTCTATTAGTCATGAGCTCATGAGTTATATTTTCTTAGTGTCAGTGTGATGGAGAGTCTTCCCTAGCAGCAGCTGTGTGCCATGACTGTGATCTTCTGAAGGAAAGCATGGCACTAACCACAACAGAGGATGTCTTACTCACCATGCACCTTTCTTGAGTCTGAATCACCCAGACATGTTTAAATCCGACTGTACTAGACCAAAAAAACTGACGTTAGCAAGAGCAGATGGAAGATTTCATTTGACACAAATGAAAATGCGCTTTCTATTTGACCAGAGCATCTCTAACTAAACATGCTAAATCATTACATTTAGGATTTATGATTTGGATTGATTTCCGGAGTCTGTTTTTTTTTTTTCAGACTGTTAAAATAATTTTATAACAATAAATAATTTCAACAACTCATTTGCATCATCAAACAGTGCCATTTTACATTTTTGAACGATTAAATGCTTTCTGAATCAGGACATTGAGAAGCTTGTACAATCCATTTATGGGATGGCGAAATATTTTGAATATTGGAGAAAAGCAGAAAAATATAATGTAATATGAATAGTTGACAATATTTAATTACAAAAATACAGTTTATTAATTAATACAGTCCAAATTAATATTCAAAATATTATTGCAATTACTTATACAACTTATATAATTTTTAAATAATATTTGTCAGGATATATCTAATGTATACACACACACACACACACACACACACACACACACACACACACACACA